GATATTTCGTCCGTTTAACTAAACCAAGCCCGAAACACTCAATACAAAAATAGTTCAAATTCAGCGAGATAACCAGATGTTCAGCAAGTTTTCCGAAATCATCTATTCCAAATTCAACAATACTAGAGCCAGAACCGGCACTTATCATCCCACACTAACTGCCCCTTAAGCTCCATCCAACAACGTATGCGCGTGAATGGCCTGCCCTCGGTCCTGTAGTATATCATGACATCGCGTGCACGCTGTAAAACATGTACAACAACATTGAGTGAATGAATAAATTAATCAACATGTAGAGTAACAGGAAGCAATACTTAGAGGATCTCGGTCCCCCCGTCAGCGGGAGGTACTCCGTTCTCATTCTTGTTAGTTTCAGCGTCTTGGTTGAGGCTGTGTGGCGGAGGTGATACCCCTCAGTAGGAATAATGTCTACCACGTTCTATCCTCATCCCGATGGTGCGTCTAGCTTTGTTGGAGGGTGTGTGGAGTTGTGTCTCCATCGGATCTCGCAGGATTCGGTCGGTACTGGTCTTTGGTGGATCCGTTTGGATCTGGTCTTTGTTCGTCTTTATTTGGGTGTTTACAGGTTTGGTCCTCCAATCTACGACTTTCTTCATCGGTGATGGTTCCTGCTCTGGTGCGTTGGTCCTATGGGGCCTTAGCAAGACGACTTCTCGACTGGCTACTACAACTAGGTTTCCCCGGCTCCGACGAGGGAGGGCAATGATAGCGGCGCGCCTTTAGCTCACTCCAGTGCTTTCTGTCATCGCTAGGTGGTCCATGGACCTGGTTGTAATTTTCATCATCTCTGATGTTCTTTGTACTGTCATCATCACAAAAGAAAAGTAATACTTGCTATCTCTATAGTTGAAGAGCCTAATGGCCACCTTGTCTTCTTACCGCGGGCGACTTATCGCAGGCTTCTTGCCGCGGGCTTCTTATCGTGGGCTTCTTACCGCGGGCTTCTTATTGCGGGCTTCTCATCTCCGGGACTCTAGGGACTCATCTTTCGGGTGATTCATCTCCGGGACTCATCTTCCGGGCGACACATCTTCCGGCTCATTATGTCCTTCTTATCTCCCTGAGTGAACTTAACTCCAGAGATGACTTATCCTCAAAGATAACCCCAGAGATGACTTATCCTCAGAGATGACCCCAGAGATGACTTATCCTCGGAGATAACCCCAGAGATGACTTATCCTCAGAGATAAACCCAGACATGACTTATCCTCAGAGATAACCCAAGAGATGACTTATCCTCAGAGATGACTTATCCTCATGAGCGGATGTAGTAGTGGGTAATTTTCCCGACAGGCGGGGTGTTAGAGTCCTACGCGGCTGCGCAAAGCTCCCTTCTGCCACTTATTCCCCATCACTTGCTAGTTTCTCTTCGGCATGGTTGCTTGTAAGTCCTCCCCATCATTTTCTTCTTCTCCTTCCTCATCCAATCCAATTGATTGAGCCGAGCTAGACCCATCATTTTTCTTCATCTTCTTCGTGTCTTTTTTAAGCTCTTGGAGGACAGTTTGCCACCTGGGTTCCCATTCAGTTCAACCAACAATGTGAAAAAGTAAATGACTTCTTCTCCACTTGATGGTACAAAGCCGCCACCAAAGTTGCATGGGTTTGAACTCTGATGCCGCTTTGGTTCCGGCCTACAACTTGTTTGAGATAAGCAACAAATTTGCTAACAGCATCTTGGATGAGTGACCATCTATGTTTAAAAGAGCACGGGACATAGTTGGTGCATATTGGGTGTGGCTTCACATTGTGTTTTTGCTCATGGTAAAGTTTGTGGATTTTTTGCCAATATTTCTCGCATGTTTGCTCGGTTTCACAAACGGGGTCCATGCTAGTGTTGCACCAACTTTCACATAACAAAACATCTTTAAATTGTGTGATTGTGGAACCTTTAGGCTTTGCAACTTTCTTCTTTTTAGTGTGTGATGTTTGCCCAACTTTAAACAGCGAGGAATTGGTATCCTTCATAGTAAATTTCAAAGACTCTTGACCATTATTTATCAGGTCATGCAATATTTGTTCCTACCTATAATAGGCATCACAATTTAACTATCATCCTACAAATATGATCCGATGATATATACAACAGAAGAATCTAAGAATGCAGTTGTGAAAGGGGCAACAATTATACCGGTTCTTGATCGGGCATTTCATCGAACACCAAGTCCCTGGAGTCAGGGTTTCCCGAGGACGGCCGATGCATTTGGAGCACCGGCAAAGTTGGTCATCATGTCCGTGTCGGAGGCAGATTGCAAAAGGCTCAAATCCGGGATTACATATTACTCCAAAATCACGGGTTACATATTACTACGTAGATCTGCAATAATTCCGGGCTGCATATTACTCCTACTAGTTGGGCAAACAATAATTCACTGGTTGCAGATCTACGTAGCAACATCTCTTTACATCATCCAACGAAGAAATTAATAGACTGATGACGATGCACCAAATCTACGTACTATACTACTATTGCACCATCATTTGTTCAGGACGAGTTGAATGGGACAACTACCACCCGAGATCAATCAATCTATTCTTCATTACCGAGTTGATGTTTGGCAGAAACCCTGACATGCCCACCAAAAAATTGACTAGTAGGTGGACATCATCATCATCTTATTGGTAGCATATGATTTCGGTAAGCCTAAGGTTGTCGCAACTGAAATCCGTTGGGTTTGGGTCCTCCTCTATATGTGTAGAATTCACGACC